TGCTGAAGAGAGATCTTGGGAAGAACTTGAAAATTATCATTCTTCCAAGGCTATTCGGTTCAATTTTATTCAGTTGATGAAAGTGTTCTATGTGGTCTCAAGCCATCTCTCTTGATATCTCCACCTTGAAGTTTGACTTGTAAGCATTCTCAGAGAACATTGTTGCTGTTGGGAACACAGGTTGCTTTGAACATGACAAGGTGAATTTCTGAGCTGTGAGTACTCAGGAAGCTGCCAGCCTTTGCCTTAACCAAAGAGAACTGTAAAAATTACTGCCTTTAATTATATCCTTAAGTGTTTTGCTGGCTGTGTCAGAAGATAAATTTGCACCAGAGCTCTGCGTTGATTTGACCCTTCTAAGCTATGTTGCTTCTTCTAAGGGCAAGCACTTTTCTCTCTGCCTGTAGCTGTAAAGAGTCTGACACATGCTTGGACAGCACTAACCCACTGATGCTTACACTTGTATTTAGGGGCTGTCCTGCCACCAGCCATCTAGCCACCCAACCCGAGGAACTTAACATTTGTGAAAAAGTAAACGGTTGCACATCTGTACTGCCTCCCTCACCAGGCAAACCTGGGGACATCTCTGGGGTTTCATACCAGGCAGAACAGGATGCACTCCTTCCTGGGGGGAGAAGAGTTGTCTTTCACTTAGCTCTGTAATGTTAAGAATTGTTTCTAGTCCTAGTCTCCATCTTGCTACACAGACTTGCTAGGAGTACTGAAGCTTCCAGTGAGAGGGCTTTTTTTTCTCTCCTCCCCCCTAACCTCATCTTGCTTTTGATGTGCTGATTTTAACCAAAAGACTTCTGTGGCTTGTGTGGTGGGCCAATGGCAGCTTGGGACTATGCCTGTAGATTTTCAGGGGAGTGTGAAGGATGGATTCAAGCTCCTGTAAAACTCAGCAAGGGGTAAGATGGTTTAGTTAGGTAACTTGTTGGTAGAGCAGTAAGGGAACAATATGGGGTGCACCAGAAAGCTGTCCTAGGCCAGTATATATGGTACTGCTATGGAGACTGAATGTTGTGGTAGCAATGGAAGGTTTTGTATTGCTTCTCCCAAATGCAGACTCTGCTACTGGGGGCTCACTTCTTTTATATAGCTGAACCAAATGAAGGGCTGGAGTTGGGGTTTTGTTCATGTGGGTTTTGATTTTTTTTTTCTTCTTTTTCCCAGTAGATGGAAACAGGGAAGGAGAGGGAGGAAAGCAATATTTACAGAGGAAAGTTTTTTTGACTGCAGTCCACATGTACCAAAGGGCATCACTTAGTTACTGTTAAGCCATGAACTGCAACTCAAACTCTGTAACAATAAAATACAGTCTATGTTACATGCAAAGCCTGGGAAGTTTGGTGTGTTGCTAGTGTACTTGTTGACAGTCTGTCCATGTTTCCTAAGTCCTTGAAAAACAGGGAAAAAACATGTAGCAAATATTTCTGGAAAATCTTGTTGGAGAAGCACAAAAAATAAAGCAGAATGAATCATTAATTTATAGTCTTGTAAGTATTTCTAATATTATCGATGCTGTCTCTGGCCAGTCTTTGCTATCACATGCAGAGAGCAGGGGTTAACTTCAGCTGTTTGTAAATTAAGGGTGAAATGTTCCATGCTGGCCTCTAAGCCTTTTGCTGTAGCTTGCTGTGGAGAAAGCTTCACCTTCAGATGTCCTCTTGCTGATGTTTACTTTTTAAATCTTAATTTCTTATTCATTTGGTACTAGCCTAGTAGCTGCATTTCAGTTTGCACATTTAAGCAATAGTAAATACAACAACCTTTCAAAGTGACAAGCAAACTTCCAGACAACTAGTTTCTACACCTCTCATCAGTATGAAAAATCTAATGTAAGCCTAATATCTCTGCTCCTAGGAGTAGTTTGTAATACGTAATTTTTACTTTTTGGATTTTTAGTAATTTCCAGGAGACTGTAATGGAAAGCATTGTGTTCATCTCCAGTTACTCCTTCATTAGTCAACAAAGAGAGGAAGGATGTTACCAGCAGAGTGTTAACCTTTGTATGCTTCATTTGGTTTACTACCTTAATTAGTGATTACGAAGTTATTTTGCTTACCCTCATTATAGAGACTTTGCAGGCTCATGTGATGCTCCCTGACTTTCCAGCACTGCCAGGTTACAGGGCTCTTGCCATTCTCTTCCCACATACATGGAGTTACTTGCAAAGTAAGTCCTTTCTTGGCAGAGAGCTGTGCAACACGGGATTAGGGAGAACAGGCTTGTGACACTGTTCCCTTTCCTTTATCAGGTCTAACGGGCTCCCTGCTACTCTTTCAAGAAACTAGTCTTAAACACCTACCTGCTGTGTAGCTAAACCAGGAGTGTGACCTCTTTTGCTTGGTTCTGTTTGACACCTTCCACACAGCCTTTGGGCAGTTACACTGAGTGGCTTCCACAGGGTCCTTTTTCAAGCTGTCCTGGTGGGAATGAAGAGCTGCAGCAGTTGCCAACAAGGTTCTTCAGACAGTAGATTAGTAGCAATATTATTCATGAAGTAATACCTGAAGCTATAAGCTTTTAAAGAGTCCCTTTATTATAGCATGTTCTTCTGGAGGGTAAGATAACCACTTGATTAAAAAACAATCTCGGTGTAATTTCTGCATTTATGCCTTTCCCCATCAGAGCAGATGGAGACATGTGGCTACAAGAAGACAAAGCAGCATTAACTGCTACAGAACCTTATATTAATGGCTGTGCTCCCCAGCATCATATGCAAATTCAATGTGCTTTGTGACAGCATCTTTAATGAATTTGTACCAAGTGTAGCTTATTGTAATGTTGTTTACAACACTATTCTAAAACCTACTACTTGTCCCACAGGTTTCAGTCTTGAGACCTGCATATTCAGCTTGAAGATGAGCTCATTTGTTAGGTTCTTTACCTACTTGGAAGTATTTGAATCTCAGCTGTGGCACAGTACTTGCATTGGTGTCACAGCCACGCCAGATGAGATTGAACCAGTACCTACCCATGAAATAGGTGGGAAAAAAATGCTGTAAGTATTTTAAAATGGGGCTGACACCTCCCAGTAGCTGACTGGTTTAAAACCCAATATAACAGCAACCTAGTGATGTGGAAGGCATATAGCACTGCCTACATGGTTCAGATTTGCTTCATCTGCAGGAGACAGGCTCTTAATTACAAAAGCTGAGGTTCTTATTTAGTCATTCCAGTTAACATTGAGACAGAGAAAGCAATTCTCAGGCCCTGAACAGAGGTGGAGAGCTCTATTCTGGAGCCTACCTTCAGGAAGAAGATGCTTGTCAGTGCTTTTGGACAAGCAACAGAAAGCTTCCCCCCAGCCAGGTGAGTGCTCTAACTGCAGTGCTGCTATGGGCAGCCTGCAGCTGGAAGGGGCACCTTGAAGCAGATTTTTCATGTCTCACCTCCCAGAACACCACGTTTGGCTGCAGGTATGTGGCTTTAATAGTAACTGTTGAGTGTACTGACTCCTGAAACCATTTTCAAGCACCACTCTCAAACAAAACCGTGTTAAGAACTGGAACTAAAACAGGTAATGCTGGGCTGAGTCCTTTGAAGAGATTTAGACAGGCCAAGAGTCCCTTTTTCCTCAGAACACTTCACCTTTGAATAAGAATGTGCAGTTTGAGATGGGTAGGACTTATAAAAATATTTTAAAGCATTTTTTGTAATGTTGTTATTCCAAAATCAATCTTCATGCAACTGCCTGCACAGCCTCTATGCAGGCACAGCAAGCTGTTGCCAAACAGGTGTTGACTCTGGCTTGACAACGAGTGACACATACCACACATGTAGATAACAAGGGCAGAAATGTTCACATACTTGCAATCCTGCATTTCCTTGCTACTGCTGTGTCCACAACCAACCTCTCTTACACCTTTTTCACTGCTAAGTCTGGTTTTGCTAACTTGAACTGAGGCTCACAACTACAGACTAATACCTCTCTCGAATGCTAACATTAAACTGCCTTTGTAGCTACTTGATCTTTGAAGTGCAGTCCTGTATCGAAATCATAAGGGATTACATGTGGATTCCCTCATTTTAAGCTGCTGAAGCAGTAATAATTTCATCTACATACCTCATAGCTCATGGTACCCTCCAAACAGGGATCGAGTTTGTACCTGCCTGGCAGGGAAGCTCCTTTGTATTTCATTAAATGAACCAGGCACCCCCCAAAGATTACAATCCTATTTGGGCTACAGCCAAGGGCTAGCTGTGCTACCACCACTAGAGCTAAATCAGCAGAGGCTTGTTTGATCACAGACCAGTGGGAACAAGTAGCACACTTCCTCTGCACTTACATCTAATTTGATGTAAAACTGTCTCTTCTGCTATCTATTCTGGCCTAGGTAGTAAAGTCAAGGCACTCCAAGTGAGAGCATGCATCTTTTTTTAAAGATTTTTTGTTTTGAAATTAGATTTTGCTGGTGGAAGGTATGGAGACTTTACAGGTTTTTCATCTTGACACTACTCTGTGGCTTCTTCAGTTTGTGTGTCTTAGGTATTTCCTTAAAGAAAACATAGCACAGCTTAAGTTGTCACCTTCCATCTTTTTACATTGTTAGCCTTGATTCCACTGAATTTGTTCCTGTTCTTACAGAGGAAAAACATAGCTTACTAACATATTCATTTCAAAGGCCCCACTATTTTCACTCATTCCAGGCTGGGCTTAGCAACAAGCCTCCCACCAGCACAGCTCAGACAGGAGGTGGCACACAGCAGTACTGCTTGATGACAAATTCGTGTAACTTGCAGACCAGAAACCACAGCACACTTCAAAGCCAGAGAGCAATAGAACCCACTTGTCACAATGCACGTGACTACCTCAGTCACCTTACAGCTAGACAGAAAAGCCTCCACCAAAGCAAGTTCTTATTTGTGCACTCTCAGCCTCCCCTGTGACACAAAGAAGCTTCAGTAGCAGCAGCATCCACTGTTGTGCCACATGTACACCCACCCACAGAGCAAGGCATGCCACTGCTGACCCCTTACAAAAGAAATCTCATGTGTGTGGTCTGGCTGCAAAGTTTAGAACCTTCTTCTACCTTACCAGAACACATCATTATTAAACTTACATTTGAAAGCAGCTTCCCAATAGGATGTAACAACTCGTGTTCACCATGTAGGGGAGGAAGGTTTTCATTTTTTGTTTCTCCCTCTACCAGTTTTAAGGGCCACTTGCTCAAATTACTTTCCTTTTCCCCCTCTGCTACTTGCCCCTGGAAAAAAACTCCCCAGACAAACCAAAGATGGCTTTAGTCAGTTAGAAACTTTTCTTACATATCCTTCATCATCTGAGTATGTTTCTAGCAGTTTGCTTCCAAGATCATGTATTTCTGCAGAAGAATGCTCCTTGCTGAACACACACAAGCTTAAAGAAGTATGTGGAGTCTCAGAAGTGGCCTGGAGCAGTGCTTGGACATGCTGTCCAAGCAGCATTCGCAACAGGTAACTCTGGATAGTCTTCACTGCAGCTGATTTTGTTCAGGGCAAACGCAATTAACAGTGCAGAACTTCTTTGTGAGAAATCAAGCCACGTCTGTTCACACTAACAGCCCCAGATATTCCTTCAGCATTTCAAATGTTTCAGCTGTCTGTTTGGAATATGTTCCCTACATTACAGATTCTTTGCTGGAAAGGCTTTAACAGTGCTAAAGGTCTGTATCAAGCATGATACAATGCTGCAGGAGTTAAGAATAAGTGACATAAATGTCTTTGTATTTACAGAATACACACAAAACAAATCAATCAAGCTCCAGCTTAAAAAGAACAGACTAACTTCTCATTGAATTTTTTTGATTTTTTTTATTTGGGAAAAGTGCTTCTTACAAAAGGCAGCTGCAAAACAATACCTTATAGACCTCAGAACAATTTCTCATTCCATTTAAAAGTGAAAGGAGAGGCAGTCTAGGGGACAAGAGCAGCAGGAGAACAGATCACAGGGCATCCACAAGTCAATAAAAAACAGCAATAATGTAATGCAAGGTTAAAATTCCTGTGCTGGGGCTTTGGTGGCAAAGTAATTTTTCAATGCAAATTACAGCCAGAAACTACATGACTGCCTTTGTAAGCAGTAACTCACCTAAACTGAACAGCTTTATCAGGCAACCTGCCCAACTCGGATGCAGAGAGGCACATGTTCCTCAAACCAGCTGAGTGGCACAGCGATTTCCTAGCAAAGCTCATGGCTTAAGTGGTTACAAAAAGTTCTAAAACTTACAGAGCAATGAAGCTAAAAGGTCCTCTCTGGTGTTCCTCTGACCCCACCTTGGCTAACCGGATTTCTGCTCCTGGACAACCCTAACCATACGTATGAAGGAGAGCTGGTGTATTAGGGAGTGCTGTCTATCAAGTTAAGCAATAGTTAAGATTGTTGCCACGGACTGGGCTGAGACCACTAAACCAGTTTCATGTCCAATTGGAGGCTAGACTTCATGCACCAAGAGGGGATGAAAGATGGTTTTGTTACTTTTAACTTACACAGAGTCTCCCCATCCTTGAGGTCCAACTCTACATTTATCTGTATATACACATAGAGAGTTCTCCTTTCACAAAGACATTTTCCTTTCATGCTAAACACAGTAAAAACCCAGAACGTTCACACCTGGTTCTGGTTACACAGTAGTAATAGTAATGTGCAAGTAAACAGAGACCAAAATCACAAATGAAAACGTGTACATGAGGGGGCTGGAACAGAGCTGATGCCAGAAAGAGGATTTATATCTGGCCTGAAATCAGAAATATTGGTACAAAGACAGAATAAAGGCCATCAGCCAATTTACATCCCCACTGCATGGCCACTGCTCATTTTTGTATCTGGGCTCTTCAAAATGAGTGTGGAAGTCCTGTAAACACTTTAACCCTGGAGCTGGGTGAACTCTTTTGGGTACACAGATGAAGCAACAAACCTAAGCTAACTGTTTGACAGTTAAATTTATTTTTACAAAAACTAACATTTTAAAGATTCATTTCTTGTTATTTGTTTAAACAGAGGAAAAACAACACTCCTGGGGTGGGAGGGGAAGAGATGGGAAGAGACAGACCCTGGGTAAAAGTTATTACAACAGCACCTGGAATTGATCGGCCTGCTTAGGAGAAACACAGGCACTGCCACAACACCACAGGTAATAGCTACTGCCTGAAGCCAAAACGACAGTCCACACTCCACTGACAGGTGCTATAGATCCAAGTCATAATAATCTTCCAGCTCGTCATGAAATAAGTCCCACTCGTCCTCGGAATCTGTTAGCTCATCGTCACCTCCAGCTGCCA